AGGGGGGGGGGGGGGCTAGATTACATGTAATCTTTTTATCTTATAATATCTGATATTATCTCCCTGATTATACTTTAAATATATTCTCCCTGTGAGCCAACAATACTCGTGGTGTTAGTTAATTCACAAAAACAAGAAAGATAACTTGTTACTGTTTATATGTGACTATCTCACCCTTCCCCCTTGTCAGTGTCATTTCTGATGTGTATCATTTTCAGGTGTGGGGTCTTCTAACAGGAGATGAACCACGCCCATCTTTATTCATGGCGGTTCCTACAATTTACAGCAAACTGATACACTACCACGACAAGAGAAACCTGACTAAACAAGACAAAGAGACAGTGAAGTCAAAATGTGAACACCTTAGGTGAAAGATTGTTTTGTCTCTTATATTTGGGAAAAAAATTCTTTCATTTTACAGCACTTTGTTTTCTTATGACAATTTTATAAAATGCCTGAAAACAAGCTAGTCATTTTGTTTAGGTTAATGGTGTCTGGCTCAGCTGCCCTGCCTGAGCCTATCATGAGAAAATGGCAAGAAATAACAGGTTAGTAGTTACAGAGTAACAGTAAAAAAGAAATGACTGGTGAATAGGTAATTTTTGTATTCTCTGTATTGAACTGGGACTAACTTGACATCGAGGCTCATGTGGGGGAATATCATTAAAAAGAGATTAATGCCATTTGGCTTTGAAAAGACTTGCTGCATTAGCCTCAGTTGCAAGCTAGTGCCAGTCCAATACCGAGAATACGAAACTGGTCTATTGTCTGTCTTAGTCTTTTTCTTTGTTTCACACATTAATCCATGTGTTCATAGACTTCTGGCACTCTGTTTTTCTCTTGAAACTCAGCAGGGGTTATGAGGCATGGATGCAGCACACACATCTCACCCCATCCCTTCTCGGCCATACTGCCCTTTTGTGTTCATGATGGCTTAATAGTTGTTTAAGTGACCCTAAGAGAAAAGACTGCCTGCCAGTAATCTTATGTGCCCGTATCTTCTGTCTTAGATACATGTACTCCATTTTGTGCTCCTTTCGAGCACTTCACTTCCAGAGTGCTATTTAGTCCACCTAAAGTGCTAGTGTTAATGTTGACTATTCACCACCATTCTATTCTGTCCATTGTTCAGTGTTTTGGGTTCTCCAGACATCCTTTGATTTCTGTTTACTTAGGACATACACTGCTGGAAAGATATGGAATGACAGAGATAGGAATGGCTCTGTCCAATCCCTTACATGGATCAAGATTACCGGTAAGACATTTTTTAAAATTCATTTTCACTCAGACTTTTTACAATATACAAATACGGTCACTTAGTATATCTCTCAGCTCGTACGTGCGCTGTAATTGGTCAGTTTAGCGGACGTATGCTACTGTACGGCCCGCTAAAATTTAAAGCTGTTTTTGTCGCCAAAATGTTTCGTGATTTATTGCCAAGTATTCTTAACTTTTTTAGCAAGAAAAAGTTTGAAAATTTCTTTTATTTCTGAAATTGTGTATTAAAACCTGCTAACGACTTAAGAGTCACTTAACAACGATTTCAAATTGACTCGTTTTGCATTCAAGGTGCGTCAGAAATTTGAAGCCGTTCCGCGTGAAAAGAGATCGTTCCTGAACCCGTCAGACACACAGTAGAGATATAATAAATATCTTGCTAACCCCGTCTTCTCGGTGCGTACTGTATATTACGGATCCTCGTTTTTCCCGTTCGATTTATGGCCCATGCGCTTTGCGCTTGAGCCATAAATCGATGGGGAAAAAACTCGGTCCTTAACTTACAGTATGGCTCTCGAACCCGGTTAGTAAGAGGTATTCATACTACTCACAATACAATGCAGGTGCTTACACTACTTATAGTACTAGTCTACCTACTTACACCACTTATGAAATAATATATCTACTTACTCTACTTAGTATACTAAAACAGTTACTTACACTATACATGTACTACTACGAGCTTTCAGAGCCATCACGGCACCTCTCTCCAGGACTGAAAAATTACAAGACTTTCTAAACACTAGTTGAGAAAAGTACAAAAGCTCATTGAAGTCAAATATTCTAATTCAGCTAAGGCAAATTATTTCAGAAGGAGTATTGATTAACACATTGTTCTTACGACACATGATAGAAATTCTTATTGAGACTTGCAGGAAACTTCATCCCATTTTCATGACATTTTAGGGTTGTGTAGGAACACCTTTGCCTGGAACAGAGGTTCGGATTGTGACACAGAATAAGGAAGGAAACAGTGAGGTATTACTGAGATAGAATATAATTTAACTAGTGTATCAAGGCAGTAGGG